AAACTAAAAACCACCATATTTATATATAAATATATAGATATATACATTCTTTTAACTGCGTTTGTTTTGGTTTGTTTTGGCTTTAGACAACTTGTCCTTACGAATCCTCCTTAAAGTAGCGCAAATACCCTTTGCCCTACGCACGCAATTCCCGAAAAACTAGCGTACGCTAAAATAGCGGACGCAACGCGCAAAACGCATTTACCGTTCGGCGCATGCGCAGTGGCGACGACGCTATTCTCTGCGTATGCAAAGCTTTAGCGTGCGCTATTCTAAATCCGCCTACAGTAGCTGTGGCGGAAAGTGAACTCCCCGGGTTCTGCGGCGCGATCGAGCTTCCGCTGCACGTGCTTCGAGCGACGGTAGTTCGTCCGCTCTCTGGCTCACCACCGACACTCAAGCAGACGATAAGATGACTTCGATTCACAGCTCGCTCCGATGGCCACATCTGCACGAGTACCTACCTCCTTATGCTGCCTAAAACACGCCGCGAAAAATCCCCGGGCCATATCAACGCTGCCAAAAGCTAATCCGGGGACGATGCAATTTTTAATTGACGAAGTGCTGGCCTAATTATCTAAGGAGAAACGTAAAAAAACAAAAAAAAAAACAAAAAAAAACAACGTGTATATGTTAAAAACACCTGGAGCGTTTCAATCGCTTAAATAACCTATCCAAACTATAGAGCGATGCGAATCATACACAACACGACGTTGGAACGCAAAGAGCGTGCCTCATTACGGAGCTTTAGAATAACGTACGCAAAAGCTCTGCGTACGCAAAGAATACCTTCGTCGCCACAGTGCATGTGCCGAACGGTAACCGCGTTTTGCGGGCGCTATTTTAGCGTACGCCACTTTTGTTTTTTTTCTTCAGAAATTACTTGCGTACGCATAGAGGTTTTAGCGCCGTTCACACTCAAGACTGAGGGAGACCAGACAGGTTTTTAAGCCTTTTGCGACTTCTTAGGACCGGATGCGATGTATCGGATCTGGTCCTAAGAGATCGCAAGGGGCTTAAACACCGTTCTGGTCTCTCTCGGTCTTACTCGGTCGCAAGAGAGTGAACGGGCCTTTTGCGTTCCTCCGAGGAGAGTTCGTGATGAGCGGCAGGTTGGCTAAAGCCAACACGAGTCAAGTCAGATAATTGGCGGCTTCCAGGAACGCGGCATGCGGCCGTCGTGAGCGTGACATCGGCGGCATCCTCCCGGCTGAGATTTCCAATATTCTACGGGACAACATTGCACTCCTACGGGAGGTGCACGCCACAGAGTGTTCAGAAGACCCAGCAAGGTGGCCGGCGATCGCTGGCAACCTGCCGCTTGCGACGCGCGATGCGAAAGCTCTTGCCGAGGCGACAGGTCCGGACGACCGCTGGCGTCGTATTTTTATACTTAAACGAGTTTAGAATGTTACTAGAGAATTGCGTGTGCGATATAAAAATTGCTACTGAATCTTGGTGGCGTTGCGAGCGCGAGATGTTTGCGTTCAGCGCCGCGGCAGAGCGAGGCTATTCTAAAAACTCGATTGCATCGCGTGCGATCACACAAGCTCCAAAAATTGCGTACGTTAGTTTAGAACTGTCTATTGCCGCCAAACTTTGCAAATGTCGGAAAAAACTTTCGCTTGCGGACGCTTCGAACGTTGACTCTCCCGGAAACCACTTCATTTTTCCGGGTCACAAAGGGGCGGAGGCACCGAAAAAGTACGACGCACACTCGATAACCCGTCGACATCAGAAGGAGAGCGTATACCGTAGACGAAACAATAACTACTACTACTACTACTACTACTACTACTACTACTACTACTACTACTACTACTACTACTACTACTACTACAACAACACGTTTTTCGCACGTCTTTTTTTTTTTTTTTTCGTATACGCTGCGCGATTAGTTCTCAGTAGATTTTGGCTGTCGGAGGAAACAATCAAAAAAAAAAAAAAGGAATAGCTGACCTTAAACACACCCACAAAAAAGGGGGGGGGGGGGGGGGGGGGGGCATTTGTAACGATCAACGAGGACGAGAACAGGGATTCTTCACCGCATCAAGTTGTACGATCATAACAACGTTCTATTTCTTTTTTTTTTCTTCTTCGAATCTTGGGCGAAAAGTGCAGCTGCGACAATGACAACTCGATTATTTGTAATGCCCGCAGACAGTGGGCGAACCATACCAGCTTGAAAAGGTATACTCAGCCCCTACAGGCGTTGTTTTGCCCCGGAGACGCGCAAAAGTGAAGAGGGTGGCAGAAAGTACGCAAAAACGACGGATTTTCTTTCCGAAAAGCGTAACGTCCTGTAAAACATCTATGGTGAAGTTTCAGACCGAGAACGACGGGGGAGTGTCTTTCGAACAGCCGGCCTCCGGCAGGCGCTCCCTGCCTTCCGTCCGGCAGGCGCTCCCTGCCTTCCGCCATGCTTGGGCGCGCGGGCGCGTGGTGCACGATGGACGCCGAAGCGTCGATCGTGCACCTCGGTTGACCCGCGGTGACTTTATCGCCCTTGGTATATATATAGACTTGCTCAGCCGTCCTAACAATCTTATGCGTTAAAATTTAAAATTGCCATATTTCCCTTAAATATTAGTAATATATTATATATATATATATATATATATATATATATATATATATATATAGGCAGTGCACGAAAGCAGCATTCATATAATTTTCCTACAATTTATTTTATAATTTGGTAAAGGGGGGAAAGTTATATGAATGCGATTTTCACTGCGTGCTTATATGGATCGGCGGACATTAGACGGAAATATAACCATCACTCTTATCCGACTAATTAGCTCTAAAATAGTTAATCCACTTTTTAAGTACCGTGATATGGATATAAGATTATATTACAAACTTTGCGGCGGTCGTTCGCGAATACTGTTTCATTTTGTAAAATTCGCGTAACCGGCTCGTGTTCCGAGATATCTGCCCCCAAATGTTCTACTTAATCTGACTTTTTTTTTTTTTTCTTACATTAGCCGGATAAAAGTGCAAAATTCGGGGACGAATATCGCGGAACACGGGCTGGTATGGGAATTTTTCATTATATAATTAACAAAGTTTTGACAACAAATAGCTTTAGTTTTTTTGTTTTTTTTTTTCTAACAGTCGGCTCACATTTTTCAGAGTCAGGTACACATCTGCGCAGGTGATCCTTTTCTTTCTCACCATGTCAACATAAATTTTAAGCCTTCAAACAATTTTTTTTATTGAGGGGGGGGGGGGGGGGGGGGGTTCGGTACGCCTGTTTTGCCAATATCTACGGTTTTTTTTTTTCTTCAGTGGAAAGGTTTTTGGGATTACGCGAAGTGCTCTGCCGCAGCAGATATGGCTGATTTATTTTTAACCACCCCGATAACGTTACACCTGCCGCAAATCTGTCGGAGCAAATACAATGCCAGTCAGGAACTCCACTATCGCCTTCCCCACGGTACGTTGGTGGTAGCACCGTCCCTGACAGGAGACCGAGCGACCCTAATAAGAAGAATGTAAAAAAAAAAAAAAACCGTTTAAGCGTTTTTGACTAAGTAATGCTTGGCCAAACTGCGCGACGAAATCACCCGGTTCCGTTCGAAGCAAGTTGTAAAGCAACTTTGTGGTCAACGGTAACACGCAATTTACATATTTTATATTTGTTAATTTTAGGCTTAGCGCGTTGAAGCACAAGGCTTAGCATCTACCGCTTCGTAAAACGCGTACGGAGGCACAGCCAGCAGCAGACGGCCGGCGGAGAGAAAGAAAAAAAAAATGGGGCGAGAGGGGATCGAGAGATGGGAGAAATAGCAGCGAAGAGATGCTGTTCCTCTCCATACTTTCGATTTAGGCCTAATCGAGGAACGCTCCCTGATTGGCCCGCACTCCCGCAACGTCACGAAGGAGGGCGAGGAGGCGAGCCGTCAAAAGCTTTCTCGACAAGAGGAACCGCGGCGGCACGCGAAAAAAAGGAGACTATTAAATTGCAGGTAGGAAAAAAAAATACCCAAGTAGTTACACGAATCGTCAAATACGCACGAAAATGTAATCCAAGCCAGGCACAAGGAAGACAGCCGGCCAACAATAAAAAAAAAAAAAAGAGAGCGAAAAAAAAAAAAAAAGCGCGTTGGTTGTACGACGACGACGCGGCATTTGAAGGAGGAGGAACAGAAAAACGGAGAGACAGAAGAGAGAGAGAGAGAACTGTTTATGGTTGTTATCTGTACGCGGTTGTTTCTGTTTTTTGCTCGGCTGCTTTCTCTTCCCCGCCGCCGCCGTCTGCAAACGCGCTCAATGGCAGCAAGAAAAAAGCGAAGCGTGGCGGCCGCGCCAACAACACGAAGAGGAGGAGGTCCGCGCGTTCCCTCGCCCGTCCTTTTTTTATTTTATTCTTGTTCTTTTTGCTTGGTGCGCTTTTGGTCGGCTGTCTGACCTACTTGGTATGACTCGCGCGTCTCCGCGAGCAGACTTCCTACATCGGAGAGACCCGTCTGGGGCAAAACGGCAGCAGCGCGGACCGCGTCTGCCACGGTCGACGCTAAGGTCTGCCCGCCCGAGAACCACCGCCACCAACCACAACACCACCACCACCGCACCGATAAAATAAAGACAACGTTATTTCCGAGGTCCTTGAGGAGGAGGCGATGCCCAAGTCAAAGACCCCCTTCCCTCCGTAGAGAGCAGAAGCCCCTCTTTTTTCCTTTTTTTTTCTGTCGACAACGCCACGCGCGGTTTGGGCCGCAGCCAAAAGATAGACGTCGGCAGAAATAGCGGAGATCTCTCGAGCAGCAGCGGCGCTAAAACAGCCCATAGACGAAAACGCGAGCGCCTGACAGGCCGAAACACGGAAACCACAAAAATATTACGAGAAAAATAAAAAAAAGAAAGATCGTGACCACGGTGCGCGCGCGACATTTTTCGAGGCCGATTCTCGAACAAGAAAAGTGAGGTGCGCGCGCGGGAGCGCTCCCGCGCGCTGGTCCGAACCGCGGTGGTCGGCGAATTCTCAAACTTCTCACCTGTGACGACGGACGGGAAAAATCCGGGCCCCGGCTCGTGGAAATGGAGCAAAATCCGCACGGAGAAGGGGGTCGAAGGCAGCCAGTGGGGGGATCCCTGACACTGGCTGCCCGTACAGCAAAAAACCGTCCGGCTGGCTCTGTTGGCTTGTTTTGCTTGCGGACGCTGGGTCGCTTGGCCGGCGCTGGCCGCCGTTCACCTCTCGTTGCGGCAGCGTTTTCTCACCATGGAGACGGTGGGGGACTTCGCACGTTGACAGACGAATCGACGAACTCGGCTCAGTGGATGCGCGGTAGGCCTAATCACCTCGCTTTTAATCATTCGTAGAGCTCGGAGAAAAACTGCTCCGGACAGACAAAAAAAGCGCCATTCGTGGTCAGGTCCGCAGACGCCGCGGCCGGCTCCGTGCGACGGGAACCGACTGGCGAGGCACTCCATGGCGTGGTGAGCTGTCACATTTTTAATTGCACTCGGCCGTTGTCGCGCGTAGCCCGAAAAGACGACGGCCCGCGTTTATCGAAAACCCGAGGAAAAGCGCTCAAAAGGAGGATTTTTTTTCATCGATGCGAACCAACCACGTTACAACCTCGACGAAGCGTCTTTTGCGGAGCAGCAGCGCCCCCTGCGACGCGATTGCCGTAGACGCCGCCGGGCGACGCCACCGTCCACTCACGCCTCTCGCGTCCCGTCGGAAGCACAGTGGTCGGAACGACAAAATATGCTCCTCGAAAATATGAGGAAGCAACCAGGGGTTAGGGAAGATAAAGTGGAGTCACCGAACCACTGGCCACACAACAAAAATCACACGGCCCGAATATTTCATTCCATTTGCTCACTTTACAGCTTCCATGATGGCAAAGTGGATAATCAGCTGCAATACAGACACCGAAGTAAATGCCGATACTAAAAATCACGTTACATTGTTTTAATGGAGCTCTTGCTCCCCGTAGAGGACATTCTCACTTAAAACTGTCTCTACGTGGCTGAGAAAGGGGTATATTTTAACTGGTTCACTGCATTTTTTAAACTGTGGTTTATAGGTGCACATTATCTTTGGATCTGGACAATATTCAGGGGGCAAAAATGGTTTTACCTTGAATCCTGGCACGAAAACAAACCATCCACGAACCATAAGTGACAGCCACATGCGCCAACCTACATAAACAGACCCCCCCCACCCACCCACCGTCGAGATCAAAAGACCGAGATGCTCCAGAAACATGTAGACTTCGTTTATTAATTTGATCAGGGTCCGTCTGGTAATTATATTAACAGGCAGGACTCCGCCAAATATATTAACGCTGAGCTACCTCCACCTGACCGCTTTTACAAAAAGAAGAGCTCAAAATAATTGGTCAAGGCTCGACCATATGGTTGCATTCCTTTCCCGCCAAAACTCGGAACGTATTTCAGCTCCTTCCTAGGAAGGAGCTGAAATTGCATTATCATACGAGACATTAAAGGGAACAAAAGGCTCTTAGTGGTGCAAAGCTACCGACAGCAGATGCCAAATCCAACTACCTATAGTAAAGAGAAAAACTGGACACTACCAGCATAAAGTATCATGGAGCCATCAGTAGTACTTGCATCGACAAGCGACCACGAGAAAATGTTGGTGAATGCGATGCTAAAAACAAAAAGTAAATGCACTCCAATGAATATTCTTCATGCGATATAAAAAAATCTGGAGTTAAGCCGGAGAACCTCATGGAATGCATAGAAAACAACCAAAAGCAACTAAAACTACAAAACAAAAATTTCCACATTGACACCTAAACGATTGCATTCAGAAACTAATGAATAGTCACGTCATCGACAGCCTCACCTGCAGGAGGGCACTCCATTGTTCACAACCATTCACCGAAAAAATAAATAAAAACAGAACCTAGGCTATAGTGCAACAAGTAACGTTTCCAGGCACCATCTATTCCACAACAATTGCCACTCACCGACGAGTCATCCGTCACCTCCCTTGAAATGAAGATCGCTCATAATGAAGCAACAAAGCAAACAAAGCAGGCACAAACCCACACGTTTGGATAGAAAGAGCACAGAAGGCCGAGCCATTGTTGGTCGTACATTGACAGCGACGTCGCAGCCGCGAGATTTTACTCTTTCAACACAAAGGCGCATCACACTCTGGGACCGAGAAGCTCCCCAGACATGTCTGGACGCTCTCCGGCCAGACGTCGGGGAATTCCAGATGTGTTTTGCGCCGATGGCCCCAGACAAAGCGCAGACGCAGGCAACCCGAGGCCTTGTGCAAAGACGTACGAGGCCTGCGATGCCCCGAAATATTTAATTACTCGCGTACGACATACTGTAGGATTCGGGTTCCTCGAGCTTCCAATTTTCCTCGACCCTTGGTTCCCCAAAGTAAAGTGCCTTTCCAGTTTAGGCACCATCTTTGCAGATCTGAGCCGCCACCAGACACATAACTTTTTCAGTATGTGCATCCTAGCTTACGAGGTATGTAGGCTTCTGCACTGCCTTATGGCATCGACGTCGAGACTTGGAAGGGTTCCTTGCGATCAGAGTTCGAGAACACATGCCGTAGGACTTTGCAGAATAAAGGTCAAGTCCAGGATGTGTACCCTTGCCCCCAGTGAAAAAGACTCGAGTAAACATGTGCACACATTTTATTTAAACACCGTTTCATTCCACACCTAATCATCACCACGCCTCAATTAACCACTGTAAAAAAAAAAATTAATAAAAAATTTTGTAACAAGGCGGGGGCAGAGAACCTAAAGACGCAATGCGAGTTCACAAACTGTACAATGATAACGCCCTCAAAAACTCTGAAGTAAAATGAAAACGCACATTTTTAAGAAAAGAAAAGGGACCAGACGAAAAGGTCTGTATTTTTAGGAAAGTAGGAACGACGTAGAACTGTCAGACGTGCTTTCGCAACCGAGAATTCCTCCCGCCGCTGTAAGGAAGCGACGGAACACGGAAAACCAAAACAGTCCGTCTTCCACGCCCCAGCAATTCGTAGAAATCCCCTTCCCGTCGAGTATGCGAGGAAATGACGAAAAACACGGAAAACTTTGGACAATGGGCTTGATAGGGGAGAGGAGTGGGATCAACGTCCGGCCGACAGAACGGGCCCGACGCCTGGAGCCGGCGGGGCGGAGCGCTTCGGACGTCGCGTCCGCAAGGGAGGGTCGTTGTCCCCGGAAGAAACCGAGAGCACTCCGAGTAGACAAAGCTGGCCGTCACAGGAAGTAGTCCGGCTGTGGCTTCTTGGTGGGGATGCCCCTGCTCTCCTGTAACGAGATGCGAGAAAAGTGGTGAGAAAACAACTCCTTTTCATGTCAAACGGTGTATACACACTAAAGGCTGTTTCACACGTTTGTGCTCAAGTGCACTGCAGCCCTGGAACCCTTCAGATCTGTATAGAGCTCAAATTAAGGTTTTGGAATACTTGAGAGATGGAACCACGACAAATAGTCACTTCTCTCAGTGGCAGGCAAGAAAGGACAAATTGAAGGACTTTCTTCAGAGTGCTCCCAAACTTTACCTTTGTGCCCGGCATAAGCTACCTTGTGCTTTGGCATGCTTAAGAAGTTGCAGGTTGGTCGCGGCAACTCTTGCGGAACTGGACGGAATCGGACTGCCTACATTTCAGGCTGCCACATTTGGGAGGGAAATGTGCGGTCGAATATGCAAACGACCAAACTAAGGGGCCACAGTGACACTTTGTACGAAGCTCGTCGGCTGTAAGCCTGTTGGAGGATGGTGAAGCCGCAACGTTCCAAGTAGATGCATTGGATACTGAACGATAGGGGAAAAGTTTCAATAAAATATTTATGGACTGAACAGCAATTAAAACAAGCCACCGTTCAAGGTGACAGTGCGACATGCTATATTTTGACGCAAACATGAAGTACTAGGTATGTCTGAGTACCGAGAAATCAGCAACGGGTCGTTAAATGGAGAGAGCCAGGCTTGTTTCCCGCTTTAAATATGTATCTATGAATAGCCACATGACTGGTTGCAAGCTTATATTGACGGAGCCTCTTGTTTTGCAGACCCTGCGGCCAATAACGTCTAACCATCTTGTAGGCTTCTGAGCACGGATATGTATGGGCAACAGAACTGCCATTACTGGCATGTTTTCTTTACCTCTGTTGACGATATAGTACAACAAAAACAATGTCAATAGGCCGTCATACAACATTTGGCAATGCACCAATCCGCAACGATAAATATAGAGCACCACATACTTCAGCAGATGAGATAATCGGGCCTATCACACTTCTTGGGTTGCTTGTCACTTCCGAGTAAAGCACAATCAGAAACTCCATCATACAATTCATACAAACATTAAAAAAAAAAAGAAGAAAATTTAGGGTTTTGGAGGACTTTTAAAGCCCCGTAAAGATATATTCGAGGAAGCCGTACAGTGTTGTTGTACCCGGCAGATTTATAATAGTGCAACTTAAACACGTTGCTAATGTCTTATTACCTACTCGTGCATCTTGCACGCACTGTTCGAGTTCAATGACTGCTGGGGCTGTGTCGATGGATTGCTATTTACGCGCGGCATCGAATTACTCGTGGAGCTATTACGGCCGTCTTTGTGTTCCCGCCGTGTACCACACCCCTGATATGGCTTTTGCATTCACGAGATAGTGAACATTTCTTAGCGGGGCTTGCATTTCACCCGATACGAGTTCATTGCATCTGGTGCCTGTATTCGTCATTGATACAGACACAACCATTGGAAGTTGCACTTCCTGGGCATCACGTACGACCTCAAACACATCCACACTCTCCGTGCACCACATGAGGCATGTGCAGATTGAGCCAACCAAGCACAGACCACAAACGGCACGTGAATGTGCAAAGAACGCAAAGACAAAACAAAGCAAGACAACAAGACAGTGAACCAGACAAAACCACACTACTTCCAATGTTGCTAGGCACTTAAGAAACATCCTTTAAATGTCTCAGATGCAATACCGTAAAGTAAAACTTGCTCGTCAGAAGCTTGAAACATGCATGTTTTAATATAAATTAGGCATGTGCAAATAGTGGATTTTAAGTTGGAAGCAAATTTGAAATAAATGGTAGTTTTGGCCGAATAATTTCTAATTACATATTGAATAATTTCTCCAAGTCTTTTACTACTGCACTATGCTTGAAGGACAACCCAGCTGGAGTTGCGAGGGTTGCTCCCAAGCTTCCACTGGACCATTTCTATACTAAAGTGATTTTAATCTAATTACATTCAGGGAAGATTTATAAACCTTCTTGCTATATGCAAATATCTTTTCTTCAATCTCAAATTAAAAAAAAAAAAAAAAAGAAATATATAAATAAAAAATAGACAACTATGAATGATTAAAGCAGTTTTTCGGGGCATCCCTGCCTAACATAATCTTTTATAAAGCCAGTCTAATTTTGAAATTTGACTGATCTCAACATCTACAAAGTTGCCGTCTTTTCCATGCGCGTGTACCACCCCACTTTGAAAGTGCGCTTTCCTCCTAGGCGTGCGACTGATATTTGTACTTTTCTAAGACCGCGACGAGTTGGCCCCATTGCGGTCGCTCCTTACCGAGCACCATTGCTCTGTGGAAAAGCGACCCCAGCGGAAGAGAGATCCATGGGCGTTGCTTCTCCGCAGTGCACCGGTGCGCGACAAGAAGTATGCTCGACTGGGCTAACCCGCCACAATCAACACTTTGAAAAATGTAAATACTGCGGTTCATCTCGCAGCGAATGTCGAACAGCGTAATTTACGAAACTACTATAAAAAAATTCAAATATTCGCACAATCTTAAATAGAAAAAACATATATTCCCCGCAGTTTATTACGCTAAAAATTGGTCGGTGCATAGGTGTGCTATGCTGCATAAATTTCCATAGAACTACCTGTGGGTAGCACAAGAAATGAGAAAAGGGGGGGGGGGGGGGGGGGTTAACGCTTTGCCGAGTCGCGCTTGAGAGTCGCATGAATTGCCCAGGCCGCAGAGGATGCGAGCTTGGCCGCCGTCCGAAGCGATGAGCGAAGATTGTGGAACCACGGCTGCCGGAGCGGCGTCTATCGCTGTTTCAATCAGACAGGAGCGCATCGCATTGAAGCGAGCAAACGAGCGAGCCAGCAGATAAGAAATTGCTGCAGAAACCACTATTGTCGGTTCTCTATGAATTGCAATAGGATTCGTCTAGGACAACCTCAAGGACGATGTCTAAGACGACAACATCAAAGACGACCTCTAGGACGACCTTAAGGAAAACGTCTAGGATGACCCCAAGGAAGACCTTTAGGACGACCTCAAGGAAGACCTCTAGGACGACCTCAAGGAAAACACCAAGGACTACATCTAGGACGACCTCAAGGATGACGTCTAGGACGACCTAAAGGACGACATCAAGGTCGTCAGGTCCTTTGAAGATGGTACGAGTGTGAAGGAGTATGAGAATGTGAGCTAAAATTGTCTACTGCACATTACGAGGCCTGAAAGTCCAAAAATCTGGGGGGGGGGGGGGGGGTCAAAGAATGCTATCGCATTAAAAGGATGCGGGTGCACTGCACGGTTCTCGGCAGCAGGCATGGCATGCCGTCGGAAAGCGCGGCGATGCAAATTGGTCGGTGCTTCCGTGTTATCTGCGTGACGTCACTTCAGTGACCAAGTTTTCGTGACATCAATCTCCCAACTTTGCACCCCCTTCCAAGCGCGGAGAAAGACATAGTTCTACTTCAAAAAGGAACACCTGTGACTATAGTCGCAAAATTCAAGGGTTTTCAAACACTGTTGAAAATTCCAGGGCTTTCAAGGACTCGAAAATGGCATTTTCGAATTTATGTGTTTTTAAGGTTTTCAAGGGCCCATGCAAGCCCTGCACACCACATACAGGCTTAACCAGGGCCGTACCCAGAAAAAAATTTCGGGGGGGGGGTTTTCGGGGACAACGGCGGCCATTTTGAAAGTGTCTGTTGTCTTATTTTCGCCTATGAATCATGTGCATCGGTGGCATATAATGGAGAGTTACAGCAAACCGGAGAACCGGTCCCGGTTTGGTACCCGGTAGCCGACTGGCGCCACTGCGCGTGCGCAGAGGTGGAGATTAAAATCGGCTGGCTGCCAGTGCACCGACCAGGGCCGTACCCAGAAAAAAATTTCGGGGGGGGGGGGGTCAGAACCCCCTATCCCCCCCCCTGGTTACGGCCCTGGGCTTAACCCTACATTGCATGTAAATTACTTTCAATCGGTGATAAGCAAAGTCTGCAAAGAGACTGTCTCCATTTCATTCAATAATATATTCATCACTGCCCCTCAGAAATGGCCTGTCCTTGCTGCACAAAAATTAAAACAAGTTATAAAGGGTTTAGCAACTGCAACAAATTAACGCAAGACACCGCCTACCTTTTTACGAAACTGCAATCCGTTCGAAGCATGCAACCAGAGTATAAAAACCAACAGGGAATTTCTAAATCTAGCTCAGAAATAGATCAGCACTTGTAACAAAAGGCAAAGCAATAAAAACTGATTCAGTTTTAACACAGAAAACCAGTAAATATATTACACATATCACAACTACGTAAAGTAACATTTGCACTCTATCAAAATTTGTTTTCCTTCTATCCCTTTCGTCGAGAGATTACGACCAAGAAAAATATGCGAAGAACTTCGCTGACAGAATGAGAGATAATTTTTACGTCTGTGCAGGCTCACACTGAAAAAAATAAGGTACATTTTTTTTGTTCTTGCTAGATTTTCTAAGCCACACGCAACACGCTTGGATCAACATGGCAGCTGCAAGAACTCCACAATTATTCAACACGAAGCCACGTCAACATGAAGACACGTAGCCTTTACATCAAAGATGGCTACAGGGTGCTGAGACATTGTAGATAATTTATATGTGGTGGGCACATAATGAACCAGGAAAAAATCGGAAGTGCACGAGTAAATGGGCGACCTGAAAGAAGACTACAAAGACATAACAAAGCGTCCTTTCTTGCAATTAAGAAAACACGGCCCATTTTGAAGTTCCGGTGCAACCGGCGCAAAAGGCCACATCATCTTGGTGGCGAAATCTGCAACCCGCCACCAAACAAACTAAGCGTCTGTGCCTCGCACACATTGAACCCTGACATTAAGCGCGTCTCGACTTGCCGTCGAAGCAAAGGCCACCGACGCGGCCTTTTGCAAGGCAAGTCTGAAGCTTCGGTCCACGGTCTGAGCATGCACAATGGACATGTTGCGAACCGCGTGGGTGCTCCGAACAAGCGGCAGTGCGGCAGTTGCTCCGAGTATCGCCATGTCAAAACAGGGCCATCCATCATTCGTCGCTCTCCTTCCCACTTCCAAAGTGCAGCAGATATTTTTTTTTTTTGCTCTTACTGTACTTAATTTCACCATAACTTGGCAAAGAGTGAATGCTATGACCCCTCGAGCTAATCAGAGCGATGGAGGAAAACCGTGTGACAGCCCTTCCTAATGGTACAGGAGAGAGAGCGAAATCTAAGCAGTTGGAGAAGAGGGGAAGGAAGAACCCCCTTTTCACCCAGACATTCTTGTGTATCCCAGATGTTGCTTTTGGTCCCCACTCAGAGACTAGCCTGGCGCTCGAAATTCGCACAAAAGCGATTTTTTTTTCTCTCCCGCCCGTGGCTTCGACAGTGCTGCACGCAGCTTACGATGTAAAGATACAGTCGCACGTTTCCCTCCGACATTCTGATTGGCTCACTGGGACCGTAGCCTTCGCCTTTTGCCACGGAGTATAGGCTCCGCCCTCTCTTTGTCTCGTGGTTACAAATCCACCCGGCAAGAACATTTCTTTCGTCTTTTGCACGACATGTTACAATGGAGTCCTTGTAGCACTAAACCAAAATGAGCGTTAGGCTTACTTGAGCCAGATTTTGGCTTTTCTCCACAATGAATATGTGCATTTGTATACTTGCGCGGGGACTGGCATATTTTTGTGCCTTCGGACTCCCAGCGTATCTCCTCACACAGTGTATACGGGTTCACAAACAATAGTACAGATTTGTTTTTGTTGGAGCAGGTGAAAATTCTTGTCTGACAAAAGGGATTATGAATGATTACGAAAAAGGAGTATGTTGGGTTAGTAGGTAATTCCCAACATTCACACTTTGTTTCGTGCAAAATTTGGAAACTGCACGAACAAAGTTACAAGTGGGGCCATTACAAATTGGCTACACCAAAAAAAAGCAACAATTAAATCGGCCGAAAAAAATTTTCGCATCAGCAGGTTCCGCAGGTGGGATGCCAAGGTTTTCCTATCATGCCAACCAAACGGTTATGAAGTTGGAAAGGAGGCGAAGGGGGACTCCTCCCCTTCCTAAATAGCCAAGTTGAAGAACTTGTTCCCTTGAATCCCATATTCTTTGTCCTTCCTAAATCACCTTGTTCTTTTCCTCCATACTGTTCTTTCCCTCCAGGTTTTAGTACCAATAGAGAAGGCTTCACAGGTCAGCCTTAGATGCAAAGGAAGCACGCCTGTATCAAGCTGCTCAACAGCTGCTTCCATTTTCTCAGCTTTATTTTTGCAATGCAAAGCAAATGCTCTAGCTGCATTGTACGATACCAGCATGCGTTGGTCACTACTGCACGATGCCACATTAATAATACCGGGTTAGCATTCATGCTGCACTGGCAAAATGGCTCTTCTACAGCGAAGAAAAATTTTCTAAGTTTCAAGGCTGACTGATGTCCTTATTGTCTACCCAGTTATACAACCGATTTTTCATTATTATTTTACTTCTCAAGCTTTCAAACATTTCCTACCAACCACTTTGCAAGCAGACCTATCTTAACCATGTTCAAAATCTTCCTACACGGCTCAGTGGCTGCTACTTAAAGTATTGGTTCACTGGGACGTGCACACAAGTAACATTAACCGTGCAATGCACGTTGGAATTCAGATGTGCGTAAAACGCACCACAGGACCCTCGTGTCACATCCTGCAGGAGTACTATACCAGGATGTGGACCTCGAAGTATCATAACAGAAACATTAAGTTCCATTTGATCTGAAACCTACGCAGGTCAACTTGTCACATACACACAAAATATTTTGGAAAGCAGCTCTAATTAAGAAAATATCTATCTTGTTTTTCACCTGGCAACGGCTACGCTGATAGCCCGAGACAACCCAGACCTCTGGATTGTGTTGCCGTGGCACTTTTATGCTCCGTTCACCCCCAAGCTGACAGTGCAATGGAAGCTAGCGCTCGCCGAACCAATCAGCCACCTCCCTCTCATCATTTGACCCCACTCCTTGTACAAGGGTATGGGCGGGGGCGTGGTCACGTAGAAAAGACAAACTACGACTGGTCCAATGAAAACATAGCTTCTGACGCACTGTCGACGCAAGGGTGATGGAGAATAGGGCCTCAGGTCATCAGAGGACTCAAACAGTGAACATTCGAGGCTAACGCTACAGGAGAAGAGAATGACTGCAACAGATTAAAGTACTACAGCATTTGTACCTTGGTCTACAGCGAAGTACTACGGTAATTCTGCTGAAAAAATAAATAAAACGCAACTTTTCTAAAGGTCAAACTCCATGGAGCAAACATGAGACAACTAACCAATGAACTTCACCTGGCGGCACGTTCGCTTTGCGTGTGATGCAACGGCCACTGTTGTGACGCAAAGCGCGGAGCAAATGCCGCCCAGCGAAGCTCGTCGTTTATTTCGCTCTATGGAGTTCAAGCTTTGGAGATAGTTCAGTCAAACTATAACCGGTAGATTAAGCGAGCGGGTCCTCTGCTCCCAAGCTGCACTTTCCAAAAAACAGGACTCACCTGGGGAGCCGCCTCAAATATTGTGAAGTCCCGTTGCAAGTGCTCGTCTAGTTCCAAGATGGCCGCCACATTCCCGCACCTGGGGATCGAAAACGAAATGGTAGACATCGTGGTGGGACTGCATCCAGCCTGACCGCCATCATAAATGAATCGAACTTACTTTAAATGATTTGTAAATATTAGTTTCAGCACAGAGGCTTTTTTCATACTATGCTGCTGAAGAAAAGCTTGCCTCACTCGAGAGTGACAAACAAAAGCAAATTTTTTCCAAGACCCAACATGGAGTGAGCAAGCGCCGTTGGGGAATTCCCTATTTTTATTAAATCAAATACTTCAAGGTCTAGGGCAACATTTTTGCACTTTGATACAAAGAAGTCTGAAACCTTCACCTATTGCAGGAAACTTACTGTTTTTAGTCACAACGTTTGAATGAAGCAAGTATTTCCTTCGACATTCCGCAGAAAAATGCACCACCTAGCCACATGCAGGGCGACCAGACGTCCCCTTTTAGAGGTTCATTTGCATCGTCCCGTCAATCTGGTTCTAAAAAGCCTAAAGTCATGTTTTTGTGGGAGCAATCAGTACTAAGCGAATGGAAGAAAACTGAAAGAATGCTTCTTGACCTGAGACATAGTTACATAAAAATAAGCATACTATAAAAATGTTACATCCCATACGGAACAATTTTCAGCTCCTTTCCTCGTTACATCTGCCAATCACTCTGCAAGACTTTTCTTGTAGCACTACTGAATTTGACATGTTAGTTTGGCAACAATGAAACGGCGATGAAACTCACTTATCCTACTCGGGAACAGTATGCGCTTCTACTCTCAAATTAAAAAATTTTACAGCCGACGCTACGAGCTGATGGCACCAGTCATACAGCGTCAAAAGAGCACCATCATGGTACTTGTCATATTTCTGAACGTGCCCTATCATCGCCGAGCCAGCTATAAACAGAAAAGGCCTAGCGACTTGCGCTCTTGACGCTGCTTGATGTCCCATTAGCTCGTAGCATCGACTGCCCTTGGACTTAAGCTGAAACAAAGTAATAGCACTGCGTGACGATCGTGCGAGCGGGCGATCACGACACACCGTTTTTCTTAGCCCCCACCTGAGTGTCCAGTCTTTTACTTCGAGGATTATGGTCACCCTACACATGACCTTCGTAGCAGGTTAATGACAAATGTCAATGACAGGCTAAGAATGCAGCAGAAGCTCCATCTCTAGCATATTATCGTTGTCCTCTGCTGGGCTTTGGGTGCCCGTCCGACAAATTATTACCAAAGGCAGAAAGTTAGCAATGAAGGCAAAGCCCATACAGTCTTTTTAAAAAACATATGCAAAGGAAAAAAAAAGATTTAAACAGTTGGCGTCTGCAGGAGCCCGCGGAAAAGTGGCAACTAGCAGTCACATGACTAGCCACTAGTCACGCGGTGCTTGTGCTCTTTCGGGAGCTTCCTGCGGCTTCTAAAAGTTATTTATTAATATATATATATATATATTTCTTTTGTAGCACTTAAAACAAACATTTTAAGTGCAAAAAAATCTTCAAAATCTTGTCCTGCCACTGAATATAGCACACAAAACTGATTTATGCAATTTACTCGAAGCCTGTCCGACTCATTCAGCTAGGTTGGGCCATATTTGTTGGCGACCACATGGCACGCCTGTGTCCATACCTGTAGCAGTAGTTTGGGGCAGACCAGACGGTGAGCACGGTCTCGTTGAAGTGCCACTTGTAGCCCTCCATGACCAGCTGGTGGGCCCGGCAGATCATGTCGATGTGGTTGGTCGTGTTGAATTGGGACACCACGTCGCTGCCGAACAGGTAGCCTGCCCCCCGGGGGCTCACCCCCCAGCCCTGGGTATCTGCGAGAGGGAAACAGAAGACGTCAGCCGCAATAAAAGTGCGACAGAACCCAGTGGGGTTTCCAATGGGCAGCGTTTTCGATCGGAACGATGTGCAATGTGACACATAGTAAAGGGACTGCGAGTGCATACACCACCACGCTGTTTACAAACAAGCCCCCGTCTGCCCACATCGGGTGTGGGCACCGCGCGTGTACAGAAACTGGATCCGCGTGAAATGGCCCGTCTGCACATGCACGGTGCTGACGGCAGCGCCATCACAGTGGCGTGATGTCGAAGAGGTGAGTTGGTGTATAAACAAACTCCTCTTCTTCCCCATCCGTGTGCCTCTTGTTCGGAGGCATTGCGTTGTTTTCTCCGAAAAAGCCGTCATGCGCACGAACAAACCATGAAATTCCTCCGCACCTACTAGATTACTAATACGCAGTTCTTGTCCTGCCGCACAGCCCCTGTTCCTATGTAGTAAAGGGGTGGGAGTTTTGACTCGCTGCTTACACCCCGACCCCCTACTCTGTGCGGCACCACACTGTCGGTTGCATGCGCTATGACCAATTGATTGACTCAGATTTTACGGCACAAAAGCATCTAGGGCTATGAAGCGCCAGAGACAGACTATTGCGGAAAGGGTTTCAGAAAGGAAAGAGCTTTAGTAGCTTTCGATAGATTAAAACTATGTGCTTGATTTGTAAACAGGTATGGGCATGAAGTTAGAATATTAAATCATAATTGGCGTAAAAGACCAATATCTCTTAAAAAGTTAAGAACAGAGTTGTGCGAGATAAGAGGCTCGTACTTGAGTATGATTGTACGGTGTCACGGTGTATGCTCGCGATATATTTTGGAAAAATGTTTACGTCGTGCAGAGCCATACGCTGAACATTCAAACAATCTGTGTTGAACAGTTAATGGTTCATTGCAGTGCTCACACTTGGGAGACTTTTCCCTACGCGGAAAATGGCCGCGAGTGAGGTGCATACGAAACATCCCCAGTCGGCACGCGACAACCTCATGAGAACGATCCCAATGCCGTCCACTCTCCCACTCACTGTGCAATGGCTTTACTGTATGGAGCTTATTACTTATTTTAATCTCACTCTTGCTGCCAGTCTTGGGTGACAACATTTTACGAGTCTATGGCAATCCTTATGTGGGATATTATGACAGTCCGCTTCTTTCTCACCAGTAGAACTAGCTGCAACATAAAACTATTTCATTGTTTTTTTGGAAGGAAGATTAATTTTGTTCCGCAGCTCTACAATTATTGGGTTTTTAGAAGCTTTTAGTGATGAGAGTGCTCATAGAAAACTTAACTGAGTCGGTGTAGATGACACAGTGCATGCAGTTTGTTTTCACAATATGGTCAATGGCAAGGGGTAGACTACATAGTTCTACCGTTAAAATAGGGGCAGCAGATGCAGTTCGTTGGGTACAGCAAACAAGAGGGTCCAACCATGCCACATCCAACAAATGTAACTGTCTTTGTGCCACTTGCGTAGTATGAGCTGTGCACAAAATATCTACTGTGAAGTAAAAAAAATATACTTGTCTCATCCACCATAAAGCAGTGTCTTTCTTATTGTATTTGGTTAGTGAGAAGTCACAGCAATTGAGGTTGTAATCCCGTGGGGCTACAGTTTGTCGGATAGGGGTTACGGGCATTGCATTACAGTAGTTACGTTACACGACTGTAAGTCGACCCCCCCCCACATTGCACATCAGCAAAAAAAAAAAAAAAAACATTTAGAGGCACATTTTACGGCGAACACCTGAAAGTGGCAGGGTATCTTTTTCGAAAGCCCAGCCTCCAGCACGCGATCAATGCCTTCTGGTGTGCTATCGCTGCGCATGCACGCGCGAGGCGCACGAGATGCCCAGGCGCTATCGAAACTAGGAAGCTCCCGCTGGAGGTGGGACAACTGAGGCTACACCCTGTCGTGCTCACTCTGTCCGCGACTAGAGACTACGATTCATCCGCACAGGTGATGTCAGTCCCGTTGTCATCACTGCTACGTTTCTTAAAGCACGTCATCGGCGTCGTCCAACAAAATCTCGCACTTCGCAAATGACAGCATCTTCCATGCTAGCTCAGTGATTGTGTTGCACGTCACGGGTAGGGACCGATTGAGCACTTCTGCGGCGTACGTTGAAAGCCTAATCCTTAACTCCACAAGGCGTCCCCACCTATCCAGACTTTGGCCCGCGGGAGCCTCTTTGTTTGCAGTCACAATTAAAATCCCTCGCCACTTCAGACTCCATTGGAGCACCACTCGCTCAGACGGGTTGAACTTGCATCCAACAGTGCAGTTGTTGGTTGCTTCTGGATGAAGGATGGCCATAAACGAGCAGCAAAAACATGAACTGCGTGGATCACGCTTGTCAATACAAAAAACCGTAGACGGCGCTCCAGCATAATCTTGACACTCGATCAAACGACGCAAGTCCGTGAATCGTGCGAAAAGCTGCAAAAAGAAGCTGCGGGGAGTGAGGTTTGAGGCTGTACCGGCGGCCATTCCGGAGTGCCTCTTACAGGTGCCGCCATTTCCGGTAGTCAGGCGTGCTGTGCGCTGTTCGCCGCCATACATTTGGGCTAATTTGCAAATCGCTATCAATAATACTTGTTCGTGCAAATAAAAAAAAAACTTGTAAAATGAGCGCACAGAATAGCGCAATGCAACAGGTATAGCCGGCTGAACTCTTAACAACTCAAGGTGTTCTTGTTATCGCGATTGTTTCGTTTTTGTCGGCGGTGGAACGCTTAACTTCGATTATACGTCGACTCCCCCACTTCTGATTTTCAAAAATTGAAAACTGGGTCGACCTACAGTTGTGTACATATGGTACTCAGTCCAGCAGAATCTGCTACACTTGCGTTTCTCATATTGAACAGAGGTGTAATAGTAGGTTTGTTTACAAGGGCGCACTTGTATCTCGTTTCCGCTACAGCATCTTGGGAAGGGTGTAGGTACACTTAACGAATTCCAAGTGAATACATGAATCCAGTGGCGTACACAGGGGGGGGCCGAAGGGGCCGCGGCCCCCCTCCCCCTCCCCCGAAATTTCCGAGGGGGGGGGAGGGGTGGGGGGAGTCGGCGAAGTTACTGACTCTCGGAATATCAAACTTCGTGGAGATGTTGTAAAAAAAGGGAATAAAAAAGGAAGGGAATGCAATATGCCATTTACGACATAGTAAAAATAATAAAAAATGTGTAGTTTTAACGTCTTTTATCTCATATGACTGGAAAATAATTAATTAACGAATATCTTTTCTACTTCTATTACTTCGCGAGTGCCCCATGTCCCTCTCGTGGAGCCACCAGGGCTGGTTTGTCGTCGCCACGGAGCGGCCCCCGTGTCCCCTGTCTTAATTGTTCCTCGAGGACCCCGCTCTGGGTGCGTACCATGCGCTGTGCCTCACCCGAGCACAGCGGGGCCCCTCAATGTTTGTAGCCTTTTTTTTTATTTTGAGAAAAAGCGTCGGTGCTGCTCTTGCACCCCAACGAGGGGTTTTTCCTTGAAGCGGTGTCCGGCTGACGGTCGACAGTTAGGGCGAAGGTTTTTAGGAGTTTTCTGGGGTCTATGCACGTGTCCTCTCTTAATTGGATTTTGTATTGTATGTGTTTGTTTTGTACCGGGTGGCTCCCATTGGGGTCTAAAAAGAGCGATATCTGATTGGCCCCTCGGAGGGTGGGAAAAGTCTTAGCAAAGTGTAACCGCAAATCCCGCGCCTAAAGGCGCAGGATTTGTGGTTCAAGGTTCGAGTACGGAAGTTGTCATCAGCAGTTTGAGAACCGCGCGAGATAGGGGCGTGAGTGTGCGATTTGCTGCCTCAGGACGAGAGTCAAGTGCAATATGTGAGTGCGTAAACCATTTTACATCGTCCCTTTGTTGCGTTGTGTGACTTCCTTGACTTTCTTTTGTGAGCGGACTGCGGAAAGCTTAGAAATCGGCACCAACGAACAAATCACGTGAGATTTTTGTTGGTTAGATCAGGTTAAGATAGGGAGTACTTCATGGTGGAGCAGCTTTCCAGTGCTTATCGTCTATCCATCAAGATGTTCCGCGTTTCTACTTATGCATCATTGTTTTATCAGCCCCGATGACTGGAGGCTTTGTGCATTTGAGTCGTGCTTCATCAAATATTTGTTTTTATGATTCTTGTTTTCTGCTTACTCTGGTGCCTTCTTTTGACGTGACTTGTAAATTAAAAAAAGTAAAATGCAAATGCCTTCCTGGTGGGGAATTTCCGGGGCATCATTTTTATGTATCATAATCATCCGAAAACCAACATGACAACTTTATTTTAATTACTTAATAGAAGAATGCATAGTTATTAGAAAAAAATGAACATGCTTTTATTTTCTCTTGGACTTTCTTTTCTTTTTATCTCGTCCCCCTTTACTCTCGTCTGTCCGGCCCCCCGCGAAATGAAATCCTGCGTACGCCACTGCATGAATCCTAACACAGAACTTCGTCTTTCCAGCGACCATTAATTTGATTCTGCATAGAGGCTAGCGATAGGCGATGTGGAAAGGCATCAGTGGATAAATACAGCCCTCGGTGATGTTACAGGACAAAACATTTTTAGAGCTGAAGGCCTCGCCGATCCATATACAATACTGCCATAAACCAAAAGCAAGTGAATCACTGATCTATAGGTTCGTAGATGGGTAGCTGGTCAGAGCCCCAAGATTAGTGAGAAAGCACTTAAAAATGTTCAGTGCTGTTTTGCAGATAATTGGTGGTTCAGAATAAGCCCTGGGAGTTTGTGTTCTGGTTTTGTCGGAATTCAGGTGGAGTGCATAGCGATTGAGGGGTCCGCTAAGGGTAGGCGAGAGAAACAAACCACGCACAGCTTTTTCAGGAAAAAATTCAAACCCATTTTGATCCGCCCATGTTAGTAGATTGTTTACCGTTACCGTTGACTACTTCCAAAGGGGGCAGAACGGGAGTATGATGGGTGAGCTCCCCGATAATTCACACAAGAAACAGTGCCACTACCG